ACAAAATCCCAATATATATATATATAATTTATCAAATCAAATAAAATTTTATTAAAATCCTTGCCTTACCATTTAACCATATTAATTAATAAAATTATAATTATTGTAAATTATTATATAATTATTCCGTTATTTTTCAATATTTAATTTCAAATTAGCGATATATTAAAATCATAATAGATTATAGAAAATATATTTATTAAACAAAATCCACATATACCAGCAAAGTTAAATAACAAGAATTTCGGTGTATGGCTAAACTCCTGTTTGTATACTGTACCATGGAGTCCGAAGGTATATAATGCGGCGTAAATTTACGTTACTACACGCACCTGTTTATTGGAATGTATACTTCATATTTGACGGAAACACAGACCCAGCCCCACAGAATCCCAAAGAAACGACAACAATCTTGGTGCTTTATTCGTCTTTTGCAGCGCTGTCAATTCTTTTGGTAGGCAAAAAGTATCGCACAGTGGTTATGCAAGGTTTTTTTGGCAAAGCTGAACTTCCCACATTGTGAACATCATTCCGGATTTTGTTGAATTGTTTGTGAACATGTATGTAAATAATCCCTGCTTCTAAAAAATATTTCCGGCTTAAACACGGATAATATATATATATACATACATATGATTTTATACTATAATTTATACATATATGATTTTATACTTATTAATTAATTTATTTATCTATAATAATTTTCCTATTGATTTTTATTTCATGCCAAGGCTCACCTGAAGATGTGTATTCTTGCTGGAATTTCAGCACTTGTTTTCGACATGAAATGACATGGCATGACATTGCATCATATGGCAAGATTTCAACATGATATGATAATATGAATTAATATGATATGATCAAGTCATATATCATATCATATGATGTGATCTGACATGATTTGTTAGCATGACATAATCTTTCAGAATTTGGAATTTGTTTAAATGCCGCAGTGGAAGGTCTCTAGAAAACAAAGAATGGTGTGTAATGGTGTGTATGTGAAGGTGAGCTAAAAGAAAACAGCACTTAGTGATGTGTGTGTGTGTGACTAGACAGTATTCACTCTTCTTGTCCAATTGACATGAATCTCAACCAATTCAGGAAAAGGCGAATCGGCCAGCATCAGCCAAATTTTGTGCAGCACGAGTTCGTACCAACTTAGCTCAACTACAGCAGCAGTATGTATAAAAGCGGTAAACCCAACTGGTTGTTAGTGACTACCACTGACTATAAACTTGAGGGTGTCTGGTACCGTGTCTACTGAAGTCTTACTTTCTTTATATAAGATTTATATGACTGTACACACATCAAATGTCAGGTCCTTGAATTTATAGAACCTTTTTTGAAGTAGGTAACGCCACGTGGTTCATACTCCAGGACTCCAGAATCGTCAGAGTCAGTGTTACCTCCGCCAAGCACGACTTCCCATCCACGGCAAGTGGCGAACAGGCTCTTGTAGCCGCAGGCAGCTTCATCTGTCTCCTCTGGCACGACCTTGTCCTCCCCAACCGAGACAATCAGCACCTGCTGCTCTCAGAGCAGTATTGGGTTGGGTTGAAGGGAAGATGTTACAGTAACAGGAAACCATAGGTTTTTACCTGCTTGTTTCACATATATAAATTTGGCTAATTTCGGTCATTTAACAGTTTGCGAACTGGAACATCACCACGTTTCATACTTGGTGGCTCATCCCACGAATCGTAAGTGGGTTAGTTCACCCCAGTTATAAATGGGATAAGTAGGGTCAATACACTTATAACTGGGGTGAACTAACCCACTTACGATTCGTGGGATGAGCTAACCCACTGAGCCGCTTCGATCGGCAATGGCTGTCGTCACCTCCCGTGGTCTCTTGCGGCGAAGCGGCCTGCAAAACAACGGCACCCATGGTGGAGAGTTTACCATATGATGTTGATCCCGCTAGGGCATGATAAGTGACTCAGTTAAAGACAGAAGATAATAATCTATGCATATATATATATATACATATGTATATGATTATAACACACATATATATATACATTTACATATACATATATCATATATATATAAATATATTATGTATACATACATACATACATACAATACCATACCATACCATACATAACATAACATTACATAACATTACATAACATTACATACCATTACATACAATACAATACAATACACTACAATACAACACAATACAATACAATAACAATACAATACAATACAATACACTACACTACACTACAATACAATACAATACATACATACTGTACATACTGTATACACATACAGTTACATATGGTTATATCGCTTGCAGCATCTCCTGAACAAAATTTGAGGACTTCCCTCTCTGGGTATTCTGGGGCCCGAGAATCCTTGGCATTACAACATGGGTGGCTGAGGACCATACGGATCCTCAGTATATCTTCTGGTGGTTGAACAGTTCCAAAATCTCTTGGTCCTCTGAATCCTCACCCTTGACCCATATCCATTTCTATCCATTTTTTGTGCTTAGTAAGGCTTAGTAACTTAGTATCGAAAGCACCATATCAATTGAATTCAAATGATATAAGCAGTGCAAGCTACTTTGTGCAAGTACAGCCATGGGATTGCTGATTGAGACAAGCAGCACCACATAATTACATATAATTACACCATTTTGATCCTTGTTGTATTGGCAGAACAGGGTATCACTTCTTGCCCCTGGGCCCCCCAACGGCTGTGGTCTGGGACGTCGGATCGGTTTCAAGGCTTCTGGCTTGGGAGCAAGTAACGTCAAGGTCTGGTCATGGAACAAAGGATCCGGATGGGATAGGGCCAAATCTCGTCAAAATTCAATTAACTTCCAAAAACCGCAATGCCTGGCAGTTGTGAGAAGATTGACGCCAGGACTCATCTATTTGTCTCATGTTGTTCGGGGGTCTCTAATTACATCCTGACCTATCTGCAATTTAACATGAGAGTGCCTGCTGTTTCTGTAACTCTCTTGAACTCATCCAAACGTCAACCCCAAGACTCAACATGGAACCTCAAGCAAGTATGGATTTGGAAAATCATGGAAAAACATATTGCTGTTGAAGGTGATTGTTTTTGTGTATCCAAGTCTTCACTATTTTCAGGCATCCAAAAAAAAGCAGAATCACATCCCTTGCAGTTTGATGGTTGCCCCTCCGTAACACATTCACCAAGACTTTCCCAATTCATCTTGACCCGTGGCCCGTCACTCTGAATGACTTCTGAAAATCAAAGCTGGTTTGTTTGGCGAAATGACAAGTTTGATCTTGAAATCCGATCCACATATTTTGCGGATTGAGGATACCCCTCGTTTTGGTAGTTCAGCCCCCGAGTTTTGTTGTGCAACCGCCATTCTGTCTTACACATCAGTCTTGTTGCTCAACTCCAAAGTTTAGGGTGGCTAAGCCCCGATTTGTTTACCTGTTCTACCCTCCAGTAATTCAAACTGGCTGACTTGAATATCATCCGTTTACTTCGAGCATGACATATATAATCAACTCAATATATATATAAAACTATATATATATATCCGTATGTATATGCATGTATACATATATATCTATATTGTATATTATTGTATAGTATACATTGACAGTAACATACCACAATATACCTTCCCTTTAAAAGTTCAGATTGTCCAGCCATAAATTACTGGTCGATTTCCCCGCCTGGCGCGGAACTGCCGAGCAAATCGTCCAGGTCCTCGAAGCATTTTCCGGGAAAAAAATGTACCAAAAATGGTGAACTAAACCAACCAAGGACAAAAAAGAAGGTGGTTTACTAGAGGGAAATTCAAGCAATTCCAAGTAAAACTACATAATGAATCATAATGATATGATATTATATGTTGACTGTGAGTACTAGGGGGAATTGAAGCAACCAAAACACTAATTATATAGCATCCAACCAATCTCAAAGGGGGATTCAACGGGAAAAAAAGTGGGGAAATTCACCGGCCACACATGGGAATTTAACCAACCACAAAAGTAAGAGGAAATTCATGCAACCACAAGTTGAGCCATACTCGAGATCTCTTTTTACCCAAGAATACGAGTGTGGCAGTTTCCATCCATTTTGTTATGTATACCTCAGAAAACAGTGTCCCATTCACAATTCAAACATATTCCAAATAATGGATGATTTATCCAGTAAGTACTGGAATATACCTCAGTTATTTTTAGGGCTGGACAATTCAAAATATTCTTAAGAAAAATGACAGCAGCCCACGGTGTCCTCCATCTCAGATGGCCATGGCAGGTTATAGTCTGCCTAGAAAAAGGCGTGGACTCTGGTCAGACTGTGCAACGTCACAACAGGTGACGGGCTGAGTCTCAAGGGGACATCAAATAACATCAACCATGTACAGGCTGTAGCTTGTGATTTTTCTGCATGGATATTGAAGTTCTTCAATTTTTGGGTGCAATGATTTTGGCAAGACATCTGGAAGTTAAATCAATACCACAATTGGGATATCAGCGATCTCACCAACAGGCTGACAGGGTGATCCTGAAAAACAATCAAGAAACCACATGGGGAGACTTGCATCAACAACAATTACAACCAAATGGTCACCTTTCAACACTACCTAGTCTGATCCAAGCGTGGTATGTCATACCAGCCCCCAGAAGACCCTTTCGGAAGCGGCTACATCAAAATTTCCACGTTCCTTGATCTTTGGTCGGTTCAGATACGGTACAACTATGCACAACTATGCACAACTATGTACAACTATGTACAACTATGTACAACTTAGAATGTGCGCATCTTTGACTTCGCATGTTATCACACACCTTTTAAGCGGTTTTTTCATCATCCAGAGTTTTTTCATCCTGCAAATACATCCTTTATCAACGCAAGGAGGGTTAAGCGGCAATCGGAGTACAATCCACGTAAATCAAGAATCTATATGATTAACAAGTTTTACCCAGCACACAACATTACAGTATATAATTGTGTTCATAATTTCTTCATCTTTCTTGCTTCTGGCTCTGTCCCCA